GTCAGCAACCCCATTCATGTTCCCGGCGGCTCTTTCTGTTCACTCTCGTGGAAGAAAAAAGACAGAAACTTCTCTATCACAGTGACATTGAGGAGGTCTCACACCTCCTTAAAAAAGCCACAGACTCCAAGAGGCCCAGGGGACATTCAAGCACGTTCCCTGGAATTCCGAACTCCCTGAGCTGTGAGCTGCAGGCCTCGCTGCTCCTCGCCAGACTACCGCCGATCCCTGTGCTGCTGTGTGTGCAAATGGGGTCTCAGGCCAGCACCCTGACCCCCGGGGCAGCTTCTGGAAGGAACCTCTTGCTGGCCCTATAGCCTGAGCACCCTCCACAGAGCCCAGCTCCAAGAGAAGGTGCCTGGTACAGCCCCCTCGGGGTGGCCGCTCGGGACAGGGCTGGGGCCATAGGACACCAGGGGGCAGCCCCCAGCCCTGCGCTCAGAGCCGCTGCAACTGAAGACCACGGGGGTCCCAGCCCTGGGCAGCATGGGGCTGCACGCCCTGCGTTAAAACTGAAACTTGGTGCAAGCCCAACTCCTCGGTTGGAATTGTTGCTTCTGAGAAATTCAACATCCAAGGAGGAGCCGGAAGGGACCTGGGCTCCCACCTGCTTAGAGGTGCAGCTCCTCAGCCTGTCCCCCCGCCGACCCCCGGTCCCCATTCCGGCCCCTCTCGCAGATGCTGGCCTGTCCTCGCCCCATCTCACCAGAGACCGCGATCTGGGCTCGAACACTGGTGACTTGTGGCCTTTTGTAACCCTGACCCCTTTCTCACTGATCAGAAAGGCTCTCTTGGGGCTGACGCTGCCCGTGACACTTTCATCACACTTCTCAGTCCTGCGGGGGTTTCTGGTTAAGCCCTGAGAACAACTTGACAGGGACAGGACGCAGCAGCAGGGTGTGACACGGAGGGAAAGGAGGGTCATGGAACATACTGAGACCAATGCTGCCTCTGCCAGCAGGTCCCACAGGGACAGACGTCCTCTCCCGCCACCACCACCCCCAAGATCTCAGTCTCTGTGTGGAGAGTGGGGACTGCCAGGTCACCCCAAGGCCATGAGATGGGGCTGGTGAGGGAGTCCTGCCCACAGCCTGGGTGCCAGCCCTGCACGGGGCCCCACCCTGCCTCCTCTCAGCTCTGTCTTCACCGGGCACCTCTTCCGGGCTGTGTCTCAGGAAAGGACGGGATCTGGGCACTGCCACTGCTCGGAGGGCATGAGCCAGGCAGCCCACAGCTGGACATTCCCATTGTGCCCCCACTCCTTCCCTATAACAGCCTCAGCTAACACTTCCTTTGCCCAGGACACAAGAAGGATGCTGCCGTGTGGCCGTAAGCTCTGCCCTTGCCAGCTTTGGGGCTGCTCGGATTTGCCACGAGTGCTGGTGTCTGCTTTGATTATGGCTGCCACCCTCCCTCTGCAGCCAGGCAGACCCCACTGCCCAGCACCCACCCTCTGTGCTGCCCACCAGAGTGGGGGTCCCAGCCCTGGGCAGCAGCAGGAGGAGTGCAGGGGTCCACACAAGGACCCCTGGTTGGACAGAAACCACTCCGAGCTCTGTCCCATCCGGCACCTCCCAACAGGGCTGCCGGCAACACAGATGCCCAGCTGACCAGGCACGGTGCCAAGTGCCCGCCTTCATTCTGTGAGCCTGTGCCCACCAGCCAGCCTACGAATAAAGAAACTGAGGCATGGAGACCTGAGGGCTGGCTCTAGACGATAGAGCCCAAAAGAGGAGAGCCAGAATGGCACTGCACACCCACATCACACGCTCACATAGCCACACGCACATCCACACTCAACACTGCTTTGACAGCCACACGCCACACTAGATCCCACATGTGCTCTGCACACCAGCTGTCCATCCCTTTGCCTGAATCCCCTCGTCACTCCGCCTTCTCCAGGCTGTGCTGGGGGTTTCAGCCCACCTTCCCCTGGGCTGCGTTCAGCAGGGAGAGCAGCTTTGTTCAAACAGCCCTGAAGTCAAGTCCCGCCCCCCAGTCCCCTAGGTCCCCAGCTGGGAACCTCCGAAGGGCAGGGCTTGGCTGTGCGGAATCAGCACGTCATCACGCTTTAGGACAGCTGAGCACTGAGTCCCCTCTCGAAAGGTGAGGCATCCATATGCAAACATCTGTCTCAGGGAGGCCCTGTTACCAACATGATCCCCTCTATGCTCAGGATTCTTAGAAATGCTCAGACAATAGTCTTGAAAAGTCACTGCCACTAATGTGATTTTATGCCTAAAGTGTCCCTGGAAAATCTCAGGACAGAAATTCCAAAGGCCGTCCCCCTTCTCCTGCCCGGATGGGAGAGGGAATTGGGCTCATGTGTGGCAGAGACCGACACCCGGTTGGGGGGCTGCCCCCTTGTCAGTCCAATGCCCTGGGCACTCAGTTACTCCCTGGGCCACTTGCTCAACTCACTGTTTCCAGGCAGAGCCAGGAGCGAGGAACCAAGGAGCCGTGGCTGCAGAGCGAGATGGCAGCTGCTGCCTGGGTGAGGGGCAGGCTCTACAGGAGGGCAGCAGCGGCCCCACCAGGCTGAGCCAATCCTGCGACGCAGCAGGGCACCCCCTCCGTCCTAACCCTCCAGACCTCGCTCCCCTGCCCACCGCGGGGCTTGTGCCGGCTCCGAGCCCTTGCTGAGCATCACATGCCTGCAGAGCGCCTGCTGACTGTCACATGCAGCCGGAGGAACGCGGCATCGGCCCGCAGGCCCTGGGATGTCACCAAACAGTGAGCGGAGTCCTGGGTCTGCGTGGAGACAGGTGAACGGCACTGAGTCATGGGGTGGCTGCCGCTTTCACGGGGGTCTCAGGACATCCTGGGGACAAACCAATCAAACACTGGCTGTGTCTAGTGGGGGCCGCTGACTCCAAGCAAAGCACCTTTCTCTGCCTTCACTTCCCCTCCTATCCTGCCTGAAACGCCCTCTTCTCCTCTGTCCATGACACACAGCTCATGGCCTCAGTCCGTCGACACCTCCACACATTAATCCACCCCCAGGACTCTCCAGGGTGTGTGTGTGTGTGTGTGTGTGTGTGTGTGTGCGCGTGTGCACGCGCGCGCACCCCCACTCTGTGGGCCGCCATCAGGAGGCCTGGCGACATGGCATCTCCGTGGCCACAGCACACGCCTAGATCTTGGTTCCTCACCACCGTTCTCTGCAGAAGGGAGAGGGGCCGAGGCCGGGCTGGGGCAGGGAGAGGGGCGGGTCTGGCCTCCAGGGTGTGTGTGTGTGTGTGTGTGTGTGTGCGCGTGTGCACGCGCGCACGCTTCTATGTGTGGATGTGTTTGTGTCTCTGTGCACATGTATGCATGTGCGTTTGTGTCTACGTGTGTTTGTCACTATGTTCGTGTGCACATGCGAGATGTGCTTGTGTGTGCGCATACATGTGTGTTGTCTGCTCCTGCACATTTCCACTCACTCCCATGCAGAGAGTTTTCTTGGGATTCCCGGATGCCTGGGAGGCTCCAGGTCCAACTTGGGAAGTGCTGCCAAGCCGGGCTTGATGGTCATCCTGGCCCTTCACAGCTGCACAGCACGTGCCCTGGGGAGGGGCATTAGCACTGCACATGGAAGGTGAGCACACACCTCCGTCCGCACGGCTCTCACTCTGAATGATCTCAAATCCACAACCTTCAAGTGCCACCAAGCCTCTCGGCTCCCTCTGGCCAGGTGTGCTGACTGGGTCTTCCACGTACCTGTCTTGTCCTGTGTCTGGAGCGCAAGGGCACCACCTCACTTACCCCCAGAAGCAACACCAGGATGTTCCCCTCCAGCACTGTGGGGCCATCCCTTCCTTAATCTCAAATCCTACAACTATACTGAACTTATTAATTAGTTTTAAGGTTTTTTAGTGGATTCCTTGGGGATAGATATAGATAGATAGATAGATAGATAGATAGATAGATAGATATCATATATAATAAAAGCATAGTATGCAAATTGTCCCCTTAACCAGGAGGTCATCCAGGAGTTGGATCAGGGCCAGGGCCGGCCAGGAGAAGGGAGGGAGTACCGGCCAGCAGCTAGCAGCCGCTAGGGACCATACCAGTGCGCTAATTTCCTAATTTCATGCACTGGGCCTCTAGTGTGTGTGTGTGTGTGTGTGTGTGTGTGTGTGTGTGTGTATATACACACTAATGAAAGGGTAATATGCTAATTAGACCAGATAGACAGGACATCTTCTGGATGTCCTTCTGGACAAAGCCGTAGCAGCTGCAAGGGCCGAGGAGGGCTGGCAGCTGCAGCGGAAGCAGTGGCGGCAGCAGCGGGGTGGTGGGGGTGGCACCTTCCCCTGATTGGCCTGGTTGCCTCCTGCAGAGGGAGAGGGAGGGCTAGAGGCAGCAGCAGCGGGGTGATGGGGACAGCGCTTTCCCGGGATTGGCCTGGTTGCCTCCCGCAGCGGGAGGCCAGACTCCAGACTGCAGCCCTAAGCTGTCAGTAGGACATCCCCTAAGGGCTCCCGGACTGTGAGAGGGGGCAGGCTGGGCTGAGGGACCCCCCCCACCCAGTGTACAAATTTTCATGCACCGGGCCTCTAGTATATACATATATGACATGTCATCTGTGAACAGAGCACAGTGCTTATTAACAGATGGTGAGAGTGGACATCCTTGTCTGGTTGCCCGATTTTGGAGGAAGCACCAGCCTTTCACCAGGAAGTCTGATTTAGGTGTGAGCTTTTAGCAGGGTGAGAAAGTTTCCTTCTATTCCTGTTTTGCTGGGGTTTTTTTTAAATCATGAAAGGGTGTTGACTTTTGTCAATTGCCTTTTCTGTGCCTAAGATGTTCGTGTGATTTTTATTTTGTATTCTACTGATATGATGTGTTACATCAATATTTGGATGTTAACCAGCCTTGCATTCCTGGGATAAAGCCCACTTGCTCATAATGTGTAACTGTTCTATGTTGCTGGATTTGTTTGCTA